TTCTACTAAATACTGAGCAAAGGGTCTGAATACTTAGGACCATGTGATATTTCAGTTTTTCTTTTTTAATAAATCTGCAAAAATGTCAACGATTCTGTGTTTTTCTGTCAATATGGGGTGCTGTGTGTACATTAATGAGGAAAAAAAATTAACTTAAATGATTTTAGCAAATGGCTGCAATATAACAAAGAGCGAAAAATTTAAGGGGGTCTGAATACTTTCCGTACCCACTGTATATACAGGCTGGCCATTAAGCACAATAAAATTAATATACAAGCACAATAAACTCTGATTAATCATAGAAATATGCTGTTTTGCATATTTAGGAAAACACAGATGAGAAAATAAAACTGAAAGCATAACAGAACCAGCAAAATACAATAAATACTACATTACCATGCATGTAAATTCTTATGCGATATGGGACATAAAATATGCAAATGACTAATTTCATGAGTGCATGCAGATAGAAAAATGTTCAGACAATATTACATGCCCACTGTCTGTAGGAAAAACATTTATACATTATGCCTAAATCATATCTGAGTTGCACACTGAAACCAGCCACTGCATATTCAATGCTGACTAATGTCCTGATGAATGTTTAATTATTTTTTTAATTCATTTATTTTACTTTATTTTTGTTTTCCTGTCACTGCTTACTGTGCTTTGACAATATTGTATATAAAACTAATCACTGCAATAAACCACTTGAAATTTAAAATCGAAATTAAAATAGACTTTTTTTAATTGAGTGTGCATTTAATATTACATATATGCATTTACCAAATATACTTCATCCTGAAAAACAGAATCAGAAAGAGAGAGAGATAGAGAGAGAGAGAGAGAGAGAGAGAGAGAGAAGTAATTTATTTATTTATAGGTCCTGAGGCGACTCTGGGGATTCTGATCAATTACTTTTTCTCATTGCCCAGGCTAAAGAAAAAAAAACCCTTTGCAAGTGACACATTAAGCGCTTAGAGATAATTTAGACTAGATAACATTCTCATCACACGCGTTTGAAGTCACTCATTTACAACTGACAGATATCAGCAATCACAGCACTAAGACCCATTCAAAACCTCCACTTTAAATCATTTCTACAGCCTAGTCGACTAAAACGTCTTATTTTCCTTCTCAGCGACTGTAAGGGAAGGTGTTCCCTAAACCACAGTCATTTTACTCGGTGAACCGGTTTTTATACAGTCTATGGGGTGAACCCACCCGTCTTTCTCTCTCTTTTTATTCGGTTATAAACAGCTCGTGCATACACGTGAAGCGGTGGGCGGGGCGAGGCAATGAGACCGTTGTTTGCAGTAGCCAATCAGAGCCGAGCGCTTCTGTGGCTGTATATAAACCCAAGCTCCGGTCTCTGCTGCTCAGTAAACCAAGTACAGTTTTGGTGTTTATAACTATGAGAAGGAGTTAGGATATTCTCCGACTTTATCATTGAAAGAAAACATCTGCGTGTAATCCGTTGGCTGACTTCGATTCTGACATTACTTTTACGGCGTCTGTGGATATTTTGTCCTAATTTTCCGTTGTAGGCTTTGGATAGTATATTTCTTTTGCCAAAATGCGTCTGATCCAGAACATGTCTACCATTGCGGAGTACCCCAGCGCCGAAGGCGCGTCCAAACGGGTCATTAAGATCGCAGTCATCGGCAGCAGTGGAGTTGGCAAAACCGGTACATTTGTGGACCAGTTTTACATCGTTTTAAAGCTTATCATATTACACCTAATAATATACTATCACAGAAACGAATTTCTTGTAGATTAGAGTGTTGTGATACAATTATATTTATATATTCATGCCCATTTCTTGTTTATTCCTGTGTAGCGTTGGTGGTTCGTTTCCTCACTAAGCGGTTTATTGGTGACTACGAGAGAAACGTCGGTAAGTTCCCCCCCCCCCATCTTTC